TTGGCAACAGAAACCGAAAAGGAAATGCAGAAAAAGCATCTAGCGGTTTTCATAACGTAAACCAAATGTTGTTAGTGTGGGTGAGCTCTTTGGAGGAAAGGCGCTATATAACTCTCACAAATAAATAAATAACTGGTTCTCTAAATAAACTGGCACTGAAATAAGCCTGAATCTGTAACCTATTGAATTTACGTATACTCGGTAGTCAGAAGTCTCCTTTTGCTCACTGAATGTGAGTTTATTATGGCATGAACTCTGTTGGAGTGATTGGTGGGGGGTGGAGAACAGGGAGGGGGCTTAGAGAAAGGAAGAAGGAGCTTGTAGAGTCGAGCTGCCATTGAAAATGATTGCCTGCCTCAATAATAAGAGACATCTTTGTCATATCATGGTACTTCAAAGGGATTACAAAGAGGGAAAAGGGGTTCAAATGAAGGTCAGTGAGTAAAGTTCACAGGATGTATTTTGAGGACAACAAGAACTGGAATTACTTTACTAACCTATGCAAATAAAAACCATGGTCTAAGCTCTAAGAGAATCTCACTTCCAATATGTTGGCTTTGTGAGTATCCCTAAGATCTCCTTTGCTATCACACAGCCTCATAAACAACCCATACTGAACAATCACAATGACAGGATCTGCCTTATGGATCTCAGGGCTCTGAATTCTACACATCCTGAAAGTTATGCGTGGGGCGGGGTTGGTGGAGAGTGCTGGCTGGTGCCCATATGAAAGAGCCTTTTCCTAAGGAGGCTGACTCTAGAGTTTCATTCTGGAAGGTGGGATGAAAACTAAACGGAAGTGGGGTGATCTGCCTGTCAGCTGCAGAGGCTCTGATTACAAAACTAAGTGATACAGACATCTCAGAGTCATCAAAGGAACTGATTTATGAAGGTCACCTTTGATGATGCTAAGATGGTGGCAGAGGGGACAAGGGAGGATGTATGCCTTGTTAGTACTATTTATTCCAAGTAAAATAAGGTTTAGGCACTTCATAGACAAAACCTTAAAAATATCTTTGCATTCTGTTCTGTCTACTGCTTCAGAATTCCCTTCAGGTTTGCAGCATGTTACTGATGCCCATATTCTAAATGTCCAGGCAAACCTGAGTTTCAAATTTACCTTTCATCAAAAACCATTGAAAGATTTCCTTAAATAACAGCAACCTTGAACATGATATTCCTGATGATGTTGCACTGTAGTGTAAGACTTGCAACCTGATGAGGCTCATATAGTGTGTAACACGTGTGTAAGACATTAGGCTAGGCAGATTCTGATACTTTTGTTGTCTGGTATAAAAGGATTGTTGTTGTTAAGAGCCATCCAGTCGGTTCCCACCCATAGTGGCCCTGTATAGGGTTTGTGAGGAGCACTGGTGAGCTTGAACCGTATACCTTGTGGTTCAAACCAACTTAACAGTCTTGACGCATTAGCACCACACCAGGACTCTGGTATAAAAGGATGAGTATGTGTAAATTTTAGTTATAAAATGATCGTACTGTGCTGCTTTTGGTAATACAGACACAGAATATGCTATCCCCTAATTTAAACAGTGTTTTATCACCACACAAAATTTATTCCATTTAAAATGTTGACATTCTAGAAATCCATTGGCCACCTGTTGCCACAGATTGATTCATAGCAAATGAAAATGATTTGATTAAAATTTAATAGGAGAAAGTAAAACTATATTATGACAGTATTATAGTGTTGATTTAAAAATAACTAATTGAAATTAGTTTTTAAATCCTTTGGTTTTTTCCTACTTCATATTTTCTATTTGAAGGTATGTATTCACAATGTTTTGCTCTATACACATAAACTAGTACCGTTTGCATGTTAAATGCTGTTGAGTTAGTTCACTCAAAGCATCCCAGTACAGAGCTTCCAAGGAGCAGCTGGTGAGTTTGAACCACCGACCTTGTAGTTCAAACTGACCTTGCGATCCTGTGCTTATCTTACAGCAGCACCACACCAGGACTTACAATCTTGGAGAGACACCAATCTCTAACCTCCACCCCCACCCTTATGGAGAGTACCCTACAGTCTGTCAAGAATTAGCAGTATTTATCTGCATAAGGAGCTGTGGTAGCGTAGTGGTTATGAATCAGCCTGCAAACCTCCAGGTCAGCAGTTCAAAACTACCAGCTGTTCCACTGGAGAAAGATAAGGCTTTCTGCTCCTGTAAAGATTTACAGCCTCGGAAATGCTGTGCAGGGTCACTATGAGTCGGAACCGACTCTACGGTACTTAATACCAACAACAGCAATCTGCTAATGATCCCAGCTGTGACAGAAACAGTGCCTTACAGACCTGATTTCATTTCCTCATTCCAGTATCATTTTGAAGAATAAATAATATCCCTGTATTGCAGATGAGGAAACTAAAGCCAAGAAAATTTGCCTCAGTCATTCAGTTAGTGAATGATGTCACGTAGTTAGGCTTGTCCTTCTGCCTGCCCAACAGGGAAAGGACAGTTGACACACATTTGAAACATCTGATAGCTAAAGTATATTAATGATACTCAATTGATTAATAACAATAATAAAAAGCTCTTATTCTCTTTAGTTATAAAAATAATGCATACCCATTATTAAACTGAAGATGAGCAAAAAGAAAAATCACCTGAAATCGTGACCTCCCAAGATAAACAGTGTTAGCATTTAGGTATAAATCTTTCCAGGATTTTGTATGATGCCTTAATACTTTCTATTTTGGCAAAAAATTGATGTTCTGTGTACTGTTAAACAAGCTGTGGTGGCATAGTGAGTTAAGCAATGGGCTGTTAACCACAGGTCAACAGGACAAACCCACCAGCTGCTCTGCAGGAAAAAGATGAGGCTTTCTGTTACTATAAAGATTTGGTGGTGTTGTTAAGTGCTGTTGAGTCAGTTCCAACCCATAGCGACCCTGTGTAGGGTTTCCAAGGAGCATCTGGTGAATTTGATTCACCGACCTTGTAGTTCAAACCGACCTTGTGATCCAGTGCTTTATCCCATGATGCCACACCAGGACTCCTCAGAAATCCTGTGTAGCAGTTTGTCTCTACTCTGTATGATTGCTATGAGTTGCAGTTGACTTGGTGGCATGGGTTTGGAGTGGTTCTTTGTTTTTTTTGTTTGTTTGTTTTAATGCACTGTTAACAGCCAGCCTTTCTTAATAGAACCAAAACACCTTATATTTGTTTGTATATGTTGGGGCTTCAAAAAGTTCCTGGAAAAATCCCTTAACCTTTCAATTCCATTTTTCCACTAACTTTTGGAAGCCACCTCATATCACATCATGTTTATTGATTGCTTCAACTAAATGATTATATTACAATATTCTCTTCCAGTTTCCTTGTTCGACATTTGAGTCGGTGAACCATCTTTGTAGATAAATCTAACTATATCCATAATTGGGCTGCGAACCTTAAGGTCAGCGGTTCGAAACTACCAGCTGCTCCGCGGGAGAAAGATGAGGCTTTCTACTCCCGTAAAGATTTACACCCTCAGAAACCCTATACAGGGTCGCTATGGGTCGGAACTGACTCGATGGCACTTAACAACAACAAGCACAGAATTATAAGCTGCTTGCTCATCCTCCAAGTTACCAGGAAAATACATTTTTCCCTTTACTTTGCACCTCCTGATTACTAATAAACTTTCTGTTAGTTTCTATTAGTATTTATTCTTTAGTGACTTTCCTGTTTATGTCTTTTACCCAGTTTTCTTATTGGATGTTCATTTCTTATTGATTTGGCAAGAACTCTTTATGTCAGCAATATTTATATATACACTGCTATATATTAATGACTTTTTTCTCTTGGTTTGTTTTCTTTTTGGTTTTGCCTCAAGAATTTTGGATGTATAGATTTTTTCACTTCTATTTGATGCTTTTCTTTTGGTTTTGTTGCTGTTTTTTTTATTTTGGCTTATAGAAATTTCAAATTTATGTAATAAGATATATCGGTATTTGTCTTAATGATTACAGCTCTTCCACTAGTGTGTAGATAGGGTTTTCCTCACATCATGATTATGTAAGTTGTCATATATTTACTTTATTATGATGGTTTTACTTTGTACATTTAAATTTTTAATCCATATAAAATTTATTTTGGCTTGTGAGGGGTCTACCACTTTTCCCTCACAGGTTTAAAAGGCTAACCTTGGGATGTACTTGCCAGCTTTTGACTTTCCATTCAGTTCTTTCATCTATCTTTAATTTCTTGTATTGCTGTTGTAGTTATTGTAGTTTTATAATATGTATCAATATCTATCTCTCAAGTCACTCATTATTTTCAGAAATAAAGTATTTAAGTATAGAATCGTTTTCTCAAAGGGGTTGGGCGCACGTAGCTTTTATACAAGAATTTGCAGAGAATCAACAGCTTCAAAGTTGTTAATATTTGTGGTGGACTTTCCCTTTAGTCTTTTTCCTCTTCTTCAGAGAACAGTTTTAAGACTTTATGCTCAGATAGTCTACACATTTCTTGACTATTCAAGATATTTGTTTTGATTGCTATTGTGAATGGAGTTTCTTTTTTTTTTTTTCTTGGTGTAATTGATTATATGGTCTTTGATGCTTAAACTTGTCCAACCTACAGATGGGAATGAACAAACATATATTGGTGCTGCTTGAAAGTAATTATTCTGATATATTCAGATACTTAATTTAGTTTAACTATGTAGTAGGCGGAGTCCTGGTGTGGTTCCTTGGAAACCCTATACAGGGTTGCTATGAGTTGGAACCAACTCAACAGCACTTAACAACAACAAAAATGTAGTCGGAAGTACTTGAAATAAATATGGAAACTCATTGACTGCTTTTTAACCACTCCTTTAAGAGGGTTGAAATGTGCTTTATAATTTTGGGAAGAAGGAATAAACTGTCCAGAAATAAATCATTCGTAAGTGCTGTAGTACTTTGCAAATAATTCTATCAGTCCGAACTTATAGTCCCCAGTGCTAAATCATAGCAGGTATCCATCCCATTCCTATTAAACAATATTTCTTTCTTACAGATTTCAGAGACAACTGTCTGAACCCTGCCACCCCTTCACTCCTCAGTCAGGAGTTCCTGGAGATAATCGCCCCAGTTACCACCGGCAAATGTCAGAGCCTGTTGTCTCTGCAGCTCCCCCACCCCCTCAGGGATTCAAACAAGAATACCATGACCCGCTCTATGAACACGGGGTCCCAGGGATACCAGGGCCCCCAACACACGGGTTCCAGTCACCAATGGGAATCAAGCAGGAGCCCCGGGATTACTGCGTTGATTCAGGTTAGCATAACATCAAGCCATTCATTTCTACATTGTCTTATTCATCTGTCTGATACATACTGAATGTCTTCTATGTGTAAGACTTTGGGGAATAGTTTTATATGAATTTCCCTCAAAGAATTTATGGCCTAGTAAAATCTTATGAAATGTTTATGTCTTACTAAACAAAAGCACAACAGAAGAGCCATGCACATAGCAGGGAGTGCAGTCAGCATTCAGAAGTGGTACTAGGTACACCTCTGAGCCTGAGCCTCAAGGTTGCTGAGGTCAAATCTTGATGGTGCCCTTTTTAAGATCTCTTACCCATAAGGTCACTGGACACAGGGCATATCATTTCTGCATTTTAGACCTGTCTCTAGTTTTGTGGCTTTCTTTTTTTGAGTATAGACAGTTCCTGGGTTAGGAAAATCTGTGTAGTTCTACTTGGCCCTTGAATGTTATATAGTAATCTTTACCCCTACTCAAAACATACTCTTTGCTATAATCACATTCACATTCTGATTATGCAGCTTTTAAACCAGCAAAAAATCTCAAAGCTTTGGAAAGTTCCTGAATCCCATTAGCAGCTGCTGGTATATACAGGGAGAGGTATAACATGTTAAGGCACCTATTGTTTGGTTATGGGATACTACTTGTCTACGTACTTAAATAAATATCTCACAAAGTTTAAACTGTTCTTGGATGACACCTAACTCCCATTCACTGTCTACATAACTTATAGGCCAGACACATTAAATGAAACCATTAAGTAGGGGAAAATAAAGTTAGAATTTTGCAGTTTGCACACTTAGAAATGGTTTCTTCCTCATTTCCTCTTTTAGAAATAAACTCCCCATTACCCCCACATAAAATGGGACGCATCAACATTGATATCTTAGGCATTAGTGAGCTGAAATGGACTGGTATTGGCCATTTTGAATCTGAAAGCCACATCGTTTACTATGCCAGGAATGACAAATTGAAGAGGAATGGTGTTACAGTCATCGTCAAAAAGAACATAATCCAGATCAGTCATGAGGTACAATGCTGTCTGTGATAGGATAATATCCCTGCACCTACAGGGAATCCCAGTTAATACCACTATTATTCAAATTTACACACCAACCACTAAAGCCAATGAGGATGAAATAGGAGAATTCTACCAACTTCAATCTGAAATTGATAAAACATGCAATCAAGATGTATTGATCATTACTAGTGATTGGAATGCAAAGGTTGGGAGCAAGAAGAAGGCTTAGTAGTTGGAAAATATGGCCTTGGTGATAGAAATGATGCTGGAAAACACATGATAGGATTCTGCAAAACCAATGATTTGTTCATTTCAAATACCTTCTTTAGATAGCATAAGAGACGACTGTACACATGGACCTCACCAGATGGAATACCTAGAAATCAAATTGAATACATCTGTGGAAAGAGATGATGGAAAAGCTCCATGTCATCAGTGAAAACAAGGCCAGGGGCAGACTGTGGTACAGACCATCAATTACTCATATGCAAATTCAAACTGAAGCTGAAGAAAATGAAAACAAGTCCACAAGAGCCAAAATATGAACTTGAATATATCCCACCTGAATTTAGAGATCATCTGAAGAACAGATTTGATACATTAAACACTAAAGACTGAAGACCAGAAGACTTGTGGGATGACATCAAGAACATCAAACATGAAGAAAACAAAAAGTCATTGAAAAGACAAGAAAGAAGGAAAAGATCAAAATGGATGTCAGAAGAGACACTGAAACTTGCTCTCCAGTGTCGAGATGCTAAAGCAAATGGAAGAAATGAGGAGGTCCAAGAGCTGAACAGAAAATTTCAAAGATCAGCTCAAGAAGATAAAGCCAAATATTACAAACAAATGTGCAAAGATTTGGAATCAGAAAACCAAAAAGGAAGAACACACTCAGCATTTCTCAAGTTGGGGGAACTGAAGAAAAAATTCAAGCCTCGACTTTTGTTGTTGAAAGATTCACTGGGCAAATTATTGAATGATGCAGAAAGCATCAAGAGAATATGGAAGGAATACACAGAGTCACTGACTATAACAAAAGGAAATGGTTCATCTTCAGCCGTTTCAAGAAGTAGCATATGATCAAAAGCCAAATACTGAAGGAGGAAGTCCAAGGTGCACTGAAGGAATTGGCAAAGAACAAGGCACCAGGGATTGATGGAATCAAAATTGAAATCTTTCAAGGAAGTGAGGTGGCACAGGAGGCACTCACTCATCTCTGCCAAGAAATTTGGAAGACAACAGTGTTTCATTCTGCTGTGCATTAGGTCGCTATGGATCAGTACCAACTCAATGCCATATTTTTCTTCATAAAATCCAGCTTCTCAGATTATTTGCTCAGCAGGCAGGTTGAATAAGTATGGTGAAAGAGTACAACCATGTCGCACACCTTTCTTAATTTTAAATCATTCAGTGTTCCCTTGTTCTATTTGAACAACTGCCTCTTGATCCAGGTACAGATTCCTCATGAGCACAATTAAGTGTTCAGGAATACTCATACTTCACAAAGCTGTCCATAGCTTGTCATGATCCACATTTGCGTAGTCAGTAAAGCACAGGTGAACATCTCATATTCTCTGCTTTTAGCCAAGATCTTTCAGACATTAGCAATGATATCCCTTGTTCTAAGGCCTTTCTGAATCCGGCTTGAACCTCTGGAAGTTCTCTGTCAATGTATGCTTGCAGCCGTTTCTGTATCACCTTTAGTAAAACTGTACTCACATGGGATATCAAAGAAATTGTCCGATGATTTCCACATTCCATTGGGTCACCTCTCTTTGGAACGTGCTCCAATACAAATGTCTTCCAATTAGTGGGCCAAATAGTTGTCTTCCAAATTTCTTGGCATAGCTGAGTGAGTGCCTTCTGTGCCGCCTCACTTTCTTGAAAGATTTCAAGTTGTATTCCATCAATTCTTGGTGCCTTGTTCTTTGCCAATTCCTTCAATGCACCTTGGACTTCCTCCTGTATCCAAGAAATTTGGAAGACAACTATCCATACACCAACCACTAAAGCCATTTATAATGAAATTAAAGAATTCTACCAACTTCTTCCCACCAATCACCTGTCAGTTTGATGTGCTGTGGTGGCTTGTGAGTTGCTGTGATTCTGCAAGCTATGCCACAGGTATTTTAAATACCAGCAGGGTCACCCATAGTCAACAGGTTTCAGAGGAGCTTCCAGATGAAGACAGACTAGGAAGAAGGAGTAACAAATGACTTCTGAATATTTAGTCACTGAGAACCTTATGACTAGCAGAGAAATTGTCAGATACAGTGCCGGAAAATGAACCCCTAAGGTTGGAAGGCACTCAAAATGCAACTGGGGAAAAGCTGCCTCCTCAAAATAGAGTTCACAGTGATGACACTATTGGAGTAAAGCCTATGGGAGAAAAGCCCACGGGGCCTTCATTTGCCGATGGGGCACAACTCAAAATAAAGAGAAACAGCTGTAAACATCCATTGAAAATCGAAACATGGAGTGTACAAAGTATGAATATGGGAAAATTGGAAATTGTCGAAAATGAAACAGAATGCATAAACATTGATAATCTTACGCATTAGTGAGCTGAAATGGACTGGTATTGGCCATTTTGAATCTGATGACTCCATGGTTTACTACTCCGGAAATGACAAATTGGAGAGGAGTGGTGTTGCATTTATTGTCAAAAAGAACATATTCAGATCAGTCATGAGGTATAATGATACTGTCTGTGATAGGATAATGTCCGTGTGCCTCATGGAAGCCCTGTTAATAGCACTATTATTCAAATTTACGCACCAACCACTAAAGCCAGTGAGGATGTAACAGAAGATGTTAATATGAGGGGCCTTCAAAAAGTTCATGGAAACATTCATTATCTTTTCATTCCCTTTTGCTAAGAACTTTTTTTTTTTTAAGTTTTTTTTGTGTGTGAATTATGTGTTAGTTTACATGGGTGAACATTATCTTTACATTCATTCTGTTGTATTTTGTTTCATTGCAATGATCACAATCCCCTGCATGCATCATCAAACAACCAAAGAGTACACCCTACACGCCTGCTCCCCGGCCACCAGCCCACAGCCCCTCTCCCTCCCTGAGTCCAGAGTCCCCAGCCACTCCTGTCCATGTCATCATCTCTGCCTCCATCCCTAGTGTCATTGCCTCCTTGGACAGGGTCTCTAACTTCGCTTTTCTCCTTTGATGGTTCCAGGGATCTCTGCTCCTGGACTACAAAGTCAACCACTCCCCTCCTTTTGTTACCAAACATTTACATTTACCTTTCCAGCACTCACTGTCAGACCTGATAGCAATCATTCCCTGTTGAACCACAGGAGTCCTTTCCCTGCTCACCTTTTATCAACCCCATCCAGATGGGTTGGAAACAATTCAGTGGAGATTCTACCTTTCCCTGTATCCTCTGCAGCTAGGTTCCCTATTGAAAGCTTGTGAGCCAGTCACTTCTTGCTTTTGTAGTCCCACATTTTGGTTAGCCAATGTCTAAGTTTCCCATCCCTATCAACCCTGTGTACCAAGGGGATGGGAATGATCTTCAGTGTAGAGATTTGCCTGCTCCTTTTTCATACTGCATCCACAAGCATAGGTCAGGTTCATCCACTTGTAGTGTGTTACTCTTTCCTTTTTTAAATTTTTTTGTTCCTCTGCTTTCTCTGTTGGTCTGTTTCTAGTTGCTGGAGATGCTGTTTTAATGTGTTAATTTTGGTTCTTTCTTCTTTTGGGATGTACGCATTTATCGCAATAAATTGTCCTGTCAGCACTGCTTTTGCCATGTTCCAAAGATTTTGCTATGTTGTGTTTTTGTTCTCATTTGTTTCTAGGAACTTTCTGAATTCTCATTTAATTTCTTCTATTATCCAGTCTCTCTTCAGCAGGGTGTTATTCAGTTTCCATGTATTAAACTTTATTTCCTTGTTCTTCTTATTGTTGATTTCTAATTTTATGACATTGTAGTCTGAAAAGATGCTTTGTAGTATTTTGGTGTTTATAAATTTATAGAGGCTTGCTTTGTGACCTAAGACATGGTCAATTCCATGTGCACTGAGAAAGAATGTGGACTGTGCTGTTGTTGGGTTGAATGCTCTGTACATGTTTATGAGGTCAAGGTGGTTGATTGTGCTGTTTAGTTCCTCTGTAGCATTGTCAAGTTTCTTTCTGCTTCTATCCCTTTTTGAAAGTGGCGTATTAAAATCTCCCACTATAATTATAGATTTATCTATTTCTTTCTTCAGTTCTAGTAGGGTTTGCTTTTTATATATTGGAGATCTTTCATTTGGAGCGTAGATGTTAATTATGGTTATGTCATCTTGCTCAGTTGAACCTTTAATCATGAGATAGTGTCCTTCTTTATCTCTTATACTGGTTTTGCCCTGAAGTTTATTTTATCAGAGATTAGTATTGCCATTCCTGCTTGTTTTTTTATTGCTGTTAGCTTGGTATATTTTTTCCATCCTTTAACTTTTAATCTGTTTCTGTCCTTGTGAATAAGGTGTCTCTTGTAGGCAGCATATTGAAGGGTCTTGTTTTCTTATCCATTCTGCCACTCTCTGTCTCTTCACTGGTGCATTTAATCCATTGACATTCAGTGTAATTATCGATAGTTATGAATTAACTGCTGTCATTATGTTAAGTTTTTGTGGTGCTGTTTGTTCCTTTGTTCTGCATGCCTTGTGCTGAGTTCATGTTTTTTGTGGTATTTCTTGTTGGTTTTTTTCTAAGTTTTAATATTTCCTTGTTCTGCTTGGATCTTCATTTTCACGGTAAATTGTGAAGTATTAATTTTCTTTGGGTTTACCCTATTGTCTATTAAATTTTCCCTGTGTTTAAGACAGTCTATTGTATCCTGCAATCTACTCAATCCCTTTACTACCTGGATCTCTGTTCCTATATTTTCCCCTTCTTTGACATTGTTAATATTTTGATCTTTGGTTGGCCTCATAGGTCCTCTGAATCTATTGCTGTAATTTTGTTCTATTCTGAACTCTACTATCTGTCAACTTGAGATCCAGGTGGTGTTGCCACATCTCTCAATCTCTGGTTGTTGTATGTTCTTGATGCTTTTCATTCCAAAGAACTCCCTTTAAGATGTTTTGAAGCATTAGGTTGGCTTTGACAAAATCTCTTAGCTTCTGTTTATCCTGGAGTGTTTTGATTACACCATCGTATTTGATTGACAGTTTTGCTGGACAGATGATTCTTGGATGGCAGTTTTTTTTTTCTTTTTCTTTTAGGGTTTTATGTATGTCTCCCCATTGCCTTCTTGCCTGCATGGGTTCTGCTGAGAAGTCAGAGCTTAATATGATTTGCTTGCCTTTGTAAGTAACACTTCTCCTTTGCCTGGCTTCTTTTAGGATCCCTCCTTGTCTTTGATTTTGGAAAGTTTGATTATGATAGGTCTCGGTGATTTTCTTTTGGGGGGTCTATCCTTCCTGGGGTTCTTTCAGCTTCTTGAATCTTTATCTTCTCATCCTTCAAGATGTTAGATAAATTTTCTTCAAGAAGCTCTTCAACTATCCTGTGAACTTTTGTGATTCTTCCTGTTCTGGAATGCCAATGTTATCCAGCATGAATTTTAGACTCTCTTCAGATTTTTTAATCCTTTTTTCTTTGCTTGCTATTCTATCTTAGCAGTATTGAGAATTTTGTCTTCCAGCTTGCTGATTCTGGCTGCCATCTCTTCCATTCTACCCCTTTGCCCTTTCAGTGTATTATGTCCATTTCTGATATTTTATTATTAATCGTGTGGATTTTTGTTTTTGCAGGTTTTGAATAGTTTCCAATGCCATATCTATGTTGTTTGATTGCCCCTGTAGCACTTTCCTGACTTCTTCATTTTCCTCCACCCCTTGTCGGAACATTTGAATTTGTTTCTATATCATTCTTCTGAATTCCTTGTCAGGCAGATCCAGATTCTGCTCTTCTACTGGAAAGTCTGTGTTTGCTTCCAGCTCATTTGTCTCAGTTACTTTTTTCTGGTTTTGGACATGTATTGAGATCTTTAATTGTGTTTTCTTGGACATTTTCAGCAGTTATGTGGGGTTTTAATGCTTAAATGGATGTATGTTTCTTTGTTGTTAAGTTTATTAAGCATCTCCCAATGGATATGATATGGAGATAGGCTTCCCTTTTCACATGTAATGCCTAGACACTGGTTTTGGCTCTTGTCCAGATGATGGGGTATTACCGGATATGCTTATAGCTTGGCTTTATGAGCGCAGTTGCTGTCTCTTCCTGGGTAAGGTAGGGGGAGAAAGCGCCAACCCCTGGGAAAAGAGTGAGACCCAAAGGACCAAGGACAGGAACAATGTAGAAAAAGAGATAGAAACCACCAATCAAAAACAAAAATAAAATTGTGATTGTCAACTGGCCTTTGCTGGCCCCACTGTCCCTAGTTGGTTACTGTTATGTTGGGGTTTATGTCCATTTTAGATTGTTCATATGGTTTGTCTGTCAGGCCAGCCCTGGCAGAAGTAAAGGGTCCCGCAAAAGTTGACTTTAGGGCTGGGACCCAGAGTCAGATGTTGTAAGCAGCCGCCAAAGAATCTGGCTGTGGGACCAGTGGGGGTCTTCCTCTCTGTGCTTGACTCTTTTGGGGGTACGCGCTCACCTGCCTGAAGGCGTCTGGGCTGGGCAAAGAAGGCGTGACAGGGAAGAGCAGGAAGAAATGTATAGAATCCCCCCACATCTTTTGCAAATGCCCCTGTGCCGGTTTTTTGCTCTGGCTTACTGTTCCAGTCGGGCTGTGGCCCCACCCTCTGAACTCAGCCTGGGCAGGGTGACCACAGAGGGAGTCCCGTGTTTGGATTTATTCCTAAATCACAATATTTTCTTTCATACTGTGATTTTTCCACCAGTGGGTGCAGGAAACTGACGCCCTGCATCTTATGCTTGATCCAGAGCTCTGGGGCTGTTCAATGAACGCAGCTACTCTGAGTTTTCAGTTCCTCCCCCATGGAGCCTGTCCTACCTGACTCTGACTCTGCCTCTGCCACTGCCAAAACTGGAAGCTGCTAAGAACTTTTTGAAGTCTCCTCAAATATTTGTAACTTTTTGATCCGAATGAGTTCCTGAAGTGAAGGCTCAGACTTTACAACTCTGTCCTTTCTCTTGACTGATAAAAGATACTCTTGCTCTAATATGCCTGAAGAAGAAATAACTTGAGTGTGATTGGTTCTAGTTTCATGGTTCCAACATAGCAAAAAATGTATGTGCCAAAGTATAAATTGCCCATTCCTGCCCATTCTTGTCTTGGCTACATAACATCATATCCTCTGATCTCTGTGACCTAAAAATACTTTCACCTCTTGGAGCAGATTTGGATGTGACCATTAGCAGTAAAGAGAGCAAATTAGGAAAGATCTAAAGCAATCCTCTTCCCCCTCCCAGCCCTAAAGCTTTGCAAGTCAATGTAGGCAGGACGCCAAATTTGGTCTCTTGAAAGCCCATTTCTTTTTCTAAAACCATTAATCCTTTCACCCTGTTTGGCAGTTAACTAATTTCTAAATGAGTGAAGTTTGAGAGTGAGGCACCATTTTTTTCTTCCCCTGGCCCTTGATTGAGAGTTCTTTTTTCAGATGTAGGTTATAGTATTTTCCCCCTATTGCTTATTGGGTGATACTACTTTTTATCAGGATAAAGCTAAAAAAACATGATCTTGGAGCAAGAAACAATTCCAAAAATTATTCTTATATATTCAGGGGCTTTACTGCAGAACTTCAGTTAAACCATGTGTTGATTCTACCACAGAAGTATTGACATGAGTGTGTATTTCTGTGATTCCCTTTCCAGAAGTGCCTAACTGCCAGTCGTCCTATATGAGAGGCGGGTATTTCTCCAGCAGCCATGAGGGTAAGGAGCATTTTTTGGTTTGGGTTGTTTTTGTTGTCATTTTTTAATAAGTTTGTTAAATGATACTAAAGGAACCTTTAAAATTTTCAACTTCCAGGTTAAAATTTGTTGTCATAGATTAAACCTCCCATAGCATGCGAATATGAGAACTAATTAATCTTATGATTAATCTTCAGTCTTTTGTGCCATGGATTTGAGGCACTGAGGATTGCCATCACTTTGACTAGTAATGACCCTCATTTCCAGAGTTCATGGAATAATTTTAAGGAAAAATGAACTAATCTGGGCTCTCCATTTTCAGTCAAGAATATTGATTGTCTAGCTGTACAAAGGGTCTTCAAAAATTTCATGGAAAAATTCCATTCTCTCTCTCTCTTTTTTTTTTTTTAATTTTTTATTGTGAGCTGAGTGATAGGTTTACATGTGAGAACATCGGCTTTACACCATCAATTAATTGCAATGATTCCAGTCTCCTCCATGCATCATCATTCAACAGTATTGCTTTCATTCCCTCTGTTTTTTGGGGGCTGGGGGAGAATGTACACAAAAACACTCAGGAATATATAATAATTTAAACAACCAAAGAGCACATTCTGCAAGCTTACCTCCTAGCCACCAGCTCTCAGCCCCTCTCTTTCCATGAGTCGAGAGCCCTCAGCTGTGCCCTCTTTCCATTCATTATCTCTTAGTTCCATTTTCCCATGCACTTTTGAAGCCCCCTTATATATGTTACTATCAGCCTAAAGCAGAGTCCTTGTGTGGCAATGCAGGATAATGCACTAGACTACAAGGTCAATTTGAACCATGAGGTCAGCAGTTCAAACCCACCAGCCACCCCTCAGAAACCCTATACAGGGTCTCTATGGGCTGGAACCAACTTGACGGCACTTAACAACAACAAAGTGGAATTTGGAAATTATGTCAACATGAGTGGCTTTATATGAATTAAGGACATTTCAAGAAAGTTTTTACATGTGTTTCTACTTTTTACTTAGTTTGGATGCTTGGTTAGGTAACTGTGTTGGCGTTATTATATGGTAAATGGTTGTTACTATGTAAATGCGATGGAATCTGAGGTGTTCTTATGCTGACCTTGATAGGGTTGCCAAGGAAATGGGCTGTGGGGAGAGGTGAGGTCTATAAGGCACCACAGAGGGATGTTACATACAAAACACTGTGGAATGACACAACAGACATGCATTCTAACTGAATGGATTATAAATAACTATAAGGAGAAACATGGAAACAGCAATTCACCCACAAGCGTGGGTTTCTTTGTGTGGAGATGATGGTTCTGTGTCAGTGTTTCATGGTTTTATGCCCAGTCCCTTTGGGACCAACTAATTTAGCAAATCTTGGATAATCTCACTGTAATGAGAAAAAACAGTGGCCACTGTAGAACCTGTGACTTTGCCTTCATTAGCACTGACCTCCTAATTGGGACAAAAATAATTTCAAACCAATAAGATCTATAAGGCTCGGGCAGGGATATAGCTTCAAGGGAAGGGTCAGAATAGGACTAGAAATCTCTGGTTTTGAGGAAAGGAACTTAACTTTTGAGCTATTTATAAAGTTTTATAGCTTGCTCTTATCATTGATGGCACAGAACTAAGAAAATACAGATAAACAAAAAGATGAACGTTAAATCTGACTGTCCAGAAGTTGTAGTATTAATGTTTTGCTACAGTCTTACAATCTTTTCTGTGCATACATAAATATGAGGACAGGTCAAAGAGAAAAAGTATTATTAGGGTTCCAGGTCATGCAAGGTCAAATCAAAACAGTGAACTTCTCAGGGGATCTGCTGAGCCAACTAAATTCAAGTTTCAAAAGGTTATGGCAGTTGTTTTGGTTTTGTTTTTTTTGGGGGGGGGGAATTTCAAAAATAGATTATCATGAAAAGTTTTAAGAAAATTGAAAACTGTACTGGTGAGTGAAAAGCCAGGAAATTTACATCAAGGATTTTTTTTTTCCTATCAAATCAATGAACCTGCTCATTCTTTGAGGGTTGTAAGAGCTGTCCTACAAGAATTTCCTTGGAAAAACTTAAAAAGTCTGTTAATCCTTTTAAAGAGATTCTAAAAGGTAATAGGAGAAATATCCATCTTTTAGTTATTCCTCCTGTTATCTTATAACATCATAAGGAAAATGAGACTAAGGTTAAAAGACTTACCCAAGGTTGCATGGCTAGGAAGATAGAGCTAATTAAGCCCTGCAGGCTCCAGAGCCCAAGACTTCACCACTCTGCACAGTGTACAGCCACTGATTTTGGATTGTTGTTAGTGCCTTCGGGTTGGTTTTGACTCACAGTGGCCCTGTATAAGGTTTCCAAGCCTTATAAATCTTTGTGGGAGCAAAAAGCCTCATCTTTCTCCCATGGAATGGCTGGTGGGCTCAAACCATGGACCTTATGGTTTGCAGTTCAGTGCTTATCATGGATCCACCATACTCCTCTTGACTTTGTATAGCATTAACCATCCCTCTACATGTACCTATTTAGTGGCTGCGTGGTACTCGCTGATGTCGTGTTGTGATGCTGTAGGATAAGCACTGGACTGCTAACTGCAAGGTCAACAGTTCAAACTCATACACTAGTGTCCTCTCAATGATTGCAATCCCCTCTATGCAACTTCAGTTATCCCGCTTCCTCCCTGTGGTTCCTATTTCCATTCCATCACCTTTCCATCCCTAGTCAACTTTGTCCTTAGGTACATGCTGCCCTTTTGATTTTGAATGAGTGATCATTCATAGTGAGCATACCTTACCAGTGCTGTTGTCCCCCTATACACCTATCTACTGCTTGACTAAAAGTTGAACCATGAGGGTAAGTTCTTTTTCTGACCTGTAAGTCCTGCCTTTTTAAAAATAATTTTGAGTTTTGTTTCACATATTTTACCACTCTATCTGAGACTTTCTAATGTGCTCCCCTTCAGAGCAGTTAGTAGTGGTAGCTGGGTACCATCCAGTTTTTCTGGTCTCAGAGCCGTGGAGACTGATGTTTACATATTCCATTAGTCTGTTGGGCTTATTGATTTCCAATTAGCCTCTTCAATTTTCTTTTGCACATGGAGAGACCTTAGAGTTTGTAAGATCCCATACAGCATTCACCAAAGTAGAATATAGAAGATTGTCTTTGTGGACTATGTTATTGACATTGGTGTCCCCTGAGACTATGGTCCTGAGCCCCCAGACTCACCAACTCATTGCCTTAATTTAAGATGTCTGATAATGTGTTAAGTTTTCATCATTTTGCCTGCTGTATGCTTCACAACATTCATAGTTGTGTTTGCAGGAAATGTAAATACCCATGTGCCAATACCCTCTTTCAAACTCATATTTGTATAATACATAAATACATAATAAGCACTGGTAGCATGGTGATTTATATGTTAGGCTGCTAACCAAAAGGTCAGCAGTTTGAAGCCACCAGCAGTTTTGCAGGAGAAAGATGAGGTTTACTGCACAACAACAAATAACATATATACATACCCATTCAACCTGTGTCTCTGACAAGCTATTTTTGTTCCAAAGTTGTGTCTAGCTCACTATGTACTTCTATCCCCTTTAGTCCTTGCATGCCTCACTGTTGTCACAGATGTTTTAAATGGAAATTTTCTTAAAAGAAAAACAGAAGGTCTTTTATTGAGGGCTGGATATAAAGTGTTGAGAGTTGTGAGGAGCACTTGCTGAGTAGCTTCTGCACAGGCTGAGTTGGTGGAGAGAGGAGTGCTGTTGGAGACAGAGATGCAGTTACGTTAGCATGAAAGTCCTCTAAAGGTAGGCTCAGAATTATGGAGGTTACAACTTTTAGATGATAAGGTCAGGATTGCCCATAAGAACATTTGCCATAGGGAAGTTTTTTGGTTTTGTTTTTTAAGTAGTTATATCTATTATGACATACATCTTTCCATAAATGTCTAGAGTGATTTCGCAGAACAATGGCATCAGCTTCACTTTGGACTTACTACAAATGCATATATCCAGTACTCACCTCAAGCCTCCAAACTCACTGCCATCCAGTCGATTCCAACTCTTAGCCATCCAATAGGACAGAGATCTACTTCCTAGGGTTTCAGAGGCTGTACATCTTTATAAAACTAGACTGCCTCATCTTTCTCCCTTGGAGTTGACTGGTGCATTTGAACTGTGGACCTTTCAGTTAGCAGCCCAATGTTTAACCAGCTTTGCTACCAGGGATCTTACCTTAAATCTACTGAGTCAAAAACTCTGGGAGTAAAGCTCAGCAATCTGTGTTTTGTAAGTCCTCCAAGAGATACTGATGCATGCTAACTTTGAAGAACTACAGCTCAGAGTAGTGATTCTTAACTCTGGCTACACATCACAATCACCTATGAGCCAATGTGAAACAGAGGACTTACTTCCAGAAGACTTCAGAGGTTCAAGCCAGATTGAGAAGAAGAATATAATTGCTGGTGTCAGATAGATCTTGGCTGAAAGCAGGGAATACCAGAAAGATGTTTTCCTGTGCTTTATTGACTACACAAAGACTTTCAATTGTGTGGATCATGACAAGCTATGGACAGCGTTGCAGAGAATGAGTATTCTGGAGCACTTAATTGTGCTCATGAGGTACCTGTACATAGACTAAGAGGCAGTTGTTTGAACAGAACAAGGGAACGCTAAATGGTTTAAAATTAGGAAAGTTGTGTGCCAAGGTTGTATTCTTTCACCATACTTTTCAATCTGTGTGCTACACATAATCTGAGGAGCTGCATTTTATGAAGAAGAACATGGCATCAGGATTGGAGGAAGACTCATTAACAACCTACAATATGCAGCTGATACAACCTTGCTTGCTGAAAGTGAAGAAGACTTAAAATACTTACTGATGAAGATCAAAGACCACAGCCTTTGTTTGGTATGGGTTGCATCTCAGCATAAAGAAAAGAAAACTCCTCACCACTAGATTAATAAATAACGTAAATATATATATTTATATATATATACGTTAAGACCACAGAATAAATAGAGAAAAGATT